CGGACTCAGTCCACCGCACTGGTCCAGCACAGCTTGCAACTGAGCCGCTCTGGTCTGGTTTCGGGGGATCCCCTGGGATGGCGGCCCCTCTGTCGGTGGTGGTCCGTGCCGTGCTGGACAAGGGCTGGCCTCACACATGGGGCCATAAAAGGGCGCGAGTTGTTTTGGTATCTCGTACAGACGGTAGGTTGTAATTTCAAATTTGCAATGTGATGATCGATCAAGGCTATAGCGCTGCGGTATGCATATTGCATACCGTTAGGACATTCGTGGCTGATGTATACCATACACATTACACTGGCTACTGCTGGCGTGCCGCTGTTGATTTCATCATCGCGGACGTTAACAAGCTTCATGGTGTGTTTTGGAGCATTCGAAAGTCATGTCGCTGAAATCCCGTTGATAAAATGAGTAGATTTGTGACTGAACATTGCAGCCTTATGTGACGGATGAGCTGTTAGGACAACAATCATTGTCACACCGGTGTTTTCTTTGCACAGTTAATAATGTTTAGCACACTTCTCAACAGAGACAACTCATCTACAAACAATACATAACGATGTGGTTATGTAGACTGAACAAATGGTGTTTGTTTTGTGAGAAATAACAGGTGGAGAGAACTCGGTAACTCACAGCACACATGCGACTCTCTGCGGGGTAGAGTAGACACAGCCGCGCTTTATAAACGGCACCATGGTTAGACCAGTGCCACACTCAGTAGAGATCCCCAGACTCGCACCTGTGTCCGGGCGGGTGCTCCATCTGTGTCTGTATGCCCATGTGTATCTGTGTGTGTTGTGTCTATCTGTATGTGCTGACCTGACCGCTCGCCCTCCGCCGCTTTCGTCGTCGCCTCCGATGCCGCCGCGCCGGCCGCCGGCTCCCCTGCTATTGATCTGACTGACATAAGCGAGTCGCCGCCGCCGCCGCCGCCGCCACTGCCTCCACTGCCGCCGCCGGGCGGTCCGCCGAGCGGCGGGCTGACCTCGAGCTGACCCGGCACCAAATGAGGTCACCGGGTCGGCTAAAGGTCAGAGGGTCAGCGAACCGCGTCACCGACACACGTGATAAAGAAGCTCGTTCCACGCTGTCAACCGGTCAATGATCAGACTCAGTTGCGACAAATGAATTGAGGGCGGTGCCACTGGCGGGCAAGTGCCGCTCGTTACATAGCTAATCCCTGCTAATCGAACAAAGCGCTGCTTAAAGGTAGTGTGCCACCTTTGAAAGATTTCCCGTTTTATTTTTCCTAGGATAAGAAGCTTCTGTTTTTACCTAATATCGCAAAAAAATCAAAAATGGGCCTGGAATAGTGCCTTTTTCGCCTAAAAGTTTATCGGTTTTTAGATATGTATAACAACTGTATTGGGCTCACCTGCAAACAGGCGTCGGGCAACAATCGCGAATGCGGCGCACTTGTGACAATAAGCAAAGGTCATTATAGTGTTACGACCATACGACGTACGGGAATGAGTTATCAGCTGTCTAATCGTAGACAACACAATGTCGAGCCTTAAACTGTAAGCCTGTATTGGTATTGTTTCTTAAATTTGGCTGTCGAACATTAATTTGTGGTTTGAAATATGATTTTATGTAAAATAATTGATATGAAACAGCCGTCTCTTAAGTTATGACCCCATTACACCACACGCAAGTGGCAGAAATGACAATGATCAGCTGACGCATTTTTTCTTGGCCGAAGTCAGAGCGCGCGGCCCGACGCACCACGCGTATTTGGAAATTCCGACCTCGACGAGCATCAGAAGCCACCTAACAGGCGTGTTCGAAACCGCAGGAGATGATGATGAACGGGTTTATCGAAACTTGATTGGATGAGCCTATCGGTAATAGCGATTTTAGTGTGTGCATTTATTGTTCATAGTGATGTGAAATGTGGTTGGGGTACGACCGACAACCCGTCGGGGCGAATTTCGCACTGGGGTACTCAAAATTTGAAGAATTTAAGACGTTTCCATAAGTTTTGAAGGTATGGATAAGTTCTAAAAATCCGGTTCTCCTTATCCGGGTCATTAACTCCATATGGTCCAAGAAAGCTGGCACACTACCTTTAACGGACGCGTACTACCGATCTGGTGAGCTGTGGAGTGGGTGGTGGTTCGCCCCGGAGCCGGGAAGAGTAGGTAGCATGAGCAGGATTCGGGCCGGATGAAGTATACCAGATGCCGTGACCTCAGACCCGCTAAAGGTACTGAGGGTTTCCAGGCCTGTCGACGGGCCGTCTCGGACGGGCATTCGTTATTTCCCAAGTCTTGCTGCCGTACACGGTACATACGACCGTGAACTACTGCAGCCGAATGTTTGCCACGATTTGATTAACTGGTCTGCCGGCAGAAGATCAAAGTCGTCGCTCCACTGTAAAAAAATCTTACAAGCCCCTTGTAGGAAAACCGCTGGCGCAAAAATGAGCATGCAGCGACGTGTAAAAATCGCCTCATATTTAGCTAGTAAGAGGGTACAAGCTTGTTTCGTTAGTAAATGACAAGCCCACGCCTCATAAACCGAGCACCCCCGTGTCAGCCCCTCGTTTCGTTATTCGGTACCTCGTTTGAAAACGAGGGCAAAACCAGCAGATCGGTACGCCGATTAGGCTCCTTAGCAGGACTCGCCTGGTAACCCAACCAGCTAGCGCCTGCTATTGCTGCCCAGTAGTAATACTAGCTCAATTGCGTCACCCCCCCCCCCCCCCCTCCTTCTCCCCAGCCGCCCCTCCGACTGGTGGAAGACCCGGCCAACGACAGCCACGATAGCGTGCCAGCCACGTTACAAAAAAACATACACAAAAATAACGTTTATTACTTATTAGCATACGATACAAAATATCTAAATATATACATATTACAATATCATAGCGGAGTGGTGCAAAAGCTGATTCAAATCACCACCAATAGCATTCACAAAATAATACGGTTGCATGAGACACGATCGGGCACTTCCACGGGCTTTGACGCAACGGCACTTACAACAGGCGAGTGAGCAAGTTGATCCTGCCATGTCAGGTACATTGTGCACTGTGCAGTCCATCAAATATTTGCCATACTTTGCAGATTCAAGCAAGTTTTTTTTTTCTGGGCGAGGCTTACCAACAGAAATATCGCTGGCTTCCGGTATACCTTCATGCCTCAGTCTCCCACAACTTTAAGCAACTCTGCAAACAGAAAAGAAAATTAACTGCTGATTTTAAAATATCAGTGAGGATGGCTTTATTATCTACATCAACTGACTTTTGTATAAGATAAATCAATGTGAGGCAATATGTGTAACTTACACATTTGGAAAAAAGGCTAGACAGCAACTGAAAGAAAGTCCGTCTTCCAACAGTCGGAATTCAAACGAAACAGTGGCCCACAACGGTCAAGGGGTGAATTCTATGACGCAACATGTGTTCAGAATATTACAAAATAAATAAAATGTCCCCCATTGCTACGTAAATATCATACAATATAACGTACCTTCGAAATATCCCAGCCCGAGAACTTCACAACGCACCGTGCCACAACACAACCGCACCAACCGCCGGCAGCCGCAGAACTGAACAATGGCGGCCGGAAATGACGGCCCCGCGCCGGAAGTGAAGGACGCGTTTTAGAAGCAGTCTCAGACTCGTCGCTGCTCACCGTAGCAGGGATTTATGAGGCACTACCGAATCAAAGTCGTTTCGCCTCATTCGGCATCACGAAAACCCTACCAGGACTAGTCCGATGATGAGTTTCCGACTAGGTGGCGTGTGCGCAGGATTTTATTTAAAGCACGTGCAGGGTGGTGCCTCATTAGCCGACATAATAATAATATGACACGATAATGAAACACGCATGTAACTAGCATGCAACAAGCTTCTGGCGGATTTAATTATGAGACTATGCGTAGTTTTCCGACACAGCGCGAAATCTGTTGATAAGCAGGAAGGGGTGTCAGGGAAGCATTTAAGTTATAGGTTACCGTTTGTAACCAATTGTTTCACGAGGCCACTCTTTAACTAACAACCTTCAGGCTGATAATGTCCCTATATATAACAGCAAGGTACAATGGACGACCGTGTAACCCACTCCTTGTCATGGAATTGGCTCGTGACATTTTTTTACAGTGTCGAATCAATTACTGCGAGTCAGCTGGGCGGCAGAGCCACCGGCTAGGCTTCTGCGACCGAACGAGCATGCAGCGATCTGTTTTGAACTCTGATGTTTGCTGAAGGAATTGAACTCGGGTGTTTGCTGAAGGAGGGACAATCCCGATTGAAGCAAAGCCCGAGTTTGTATGATAAAGGAACGGATAATTTGAATAAAGTGCGATATGCACTGGAATGGACACTTATACAGCCTTAACTATATTTACCATACTATATACCACGTTTAAATGCTTATGTCCCTTGAGTCACATTCTACTGGTGCTGCCGAATGCTACCAAATCTCCAGCAAATCTCCATATTTTGCTGCTGAAAGTTGGCCTGCCATAGGTAAACCCAATTTTTAATTGTTTTCGACAATGATGTATTGAAAATTCATATATTCTTCACTTTTTTACTGCCAGTTGAACTTACTACATCAGATTCAGCTCTAATTTTGTAATATGTTTGTCGCTGGGAAATTCATGAGCCATTACAACTTCCAAAGTGCTCGACTCATGAACGATGATGGGCTCAATGGATACACTTACGAGCCGAAATATATACTTTCGTGGAAAGCCACGTATTCAAACATTTCATTGATTCATGACAAGCAGGTGATTGTCATAATGTCCATGTCACATGGTTTTAGAAGTCACTCGTATCTTCACAAAACAGTGCTGGTTAATTATTGAGGAAAGCTGCGATGACCTCAGTGACGTCATAAATGACGATACGCAAGGTCACTAAGCTAACACCTTATCAGGTTTTGTAACGTCAGTGAAAATCGCTTCCTCCACCGTGCCCTCCCAGAATCCCAGGTCACTTTCAACGAACTTTGTTTCTAGCTCTTTACACCCGCTGTTCTTTGTTGTTTCAGGTTACATGCAGCCGGCGGGGCCGCTGATCGAGCCGCACGCGGCGCCGGTACCGCCGGTACCCTCTGTACCGGTACACCGTCCGGTGGCGCAGCACCGGGTACCTCCGGAGCCGCCGGGTACCGGCCGGTGGCCCTCTGATACCCCTCCCGCAGCCTCCCTCTCCAGTCCCTCCCCGCCGAGCAGCCGGGCCGCGCCGGCGTACCACGCGCCACCTTACCTGCCCGGGTACCCGGGGTACATGTACCCCAGTCCGTACCGGCCGGGCGTGTACGCTCCGCCGCCGCCGCCGCCCGCTGCGAGACATGACTTGTACCCATATCCGTACTATCCATACATGCCACCTCCGCCACACTACCAGCATCACCCGCATCTCATGCATCCGGCCATGTACCACCACCCCGAGTACCCGCAGTACCCGGGGTACCCGTGTGGGTACCCGGGCGGCCCGCCGGCGCTGCCGCCGCCGCCTCCCGTGTACTCCGAGGGACGGTACGCCCCTCCGCGGCTGGCCCCGCCACCTGCACACGCGGCAGACTACGGACCTTTCGCGGCGCCAGGTGAGTCCCGCGGAGACGAGAGGGAGAGGGAAGAGTTGAGTGGTTGGTGGGAGTGGGAAGAGCGATCTGTGTTGAAGAAAAGCGAGAAGTCAAGGAAGATGGTCACTGTGTCAGAGTGTAAAGTCGGTGTGTAAAGCAAAATGCGTGAATCGCAAAGCTTTCACGTTTAAATTGCAACGATTACAAAGTGATCCAATAGGGTAGATGGGAGAATTGTGCATATCGAACGTTATTGTATGTCGGTTTCTTCGAAGCGAAATTCTCTCGGCCTGATTGATATTTCTGGCGGTGGGAAGGTCTTGCTTCTATTTGTGGCTAAAGTAAATTATATATTTATATGCTATGTTATTTTCAGCCGCGGGAGAAGATCCGTGTCTTGGGAAATATTTTATTCAGATCACGCAATGGAGTGATGACGCTTGCTATTTACGGGGCTCTATTGCAATATTGTACCTTGGTTCTAGAAGGTTTAGACGTTTCATTTCCTGTCCTTATTAAGTGTTTGATAAGTTTTGCTTGATCAGTCGGAAGCTTACTGAACTCCTGAACAGGCGCCAGCTGATGGCTTCTTCATGGAAGAACCTAACCATCCCCTGCCGCTACTCCCTGCGCTCCTATTGCCTCCAATCTGCCGGGTCCGCCCTCTCTTCCTGCGGACTGTGACGTCACATCCTGTGGTCTGGTGGCCCTCCGGCAATTAGCATATCTGATCAGTGGCCCGCCTGCCACCCGTCTGCCGAGCGCCTGCCGGCCTGCCGAGCGTCTGTCGTCCCCTGTTTAGCGGCTATGTGCCGGCCGATGGGACCGCCGAACCGGACCACACTGGACCACCGGACCGCTGTACTGGACCTCGGTGCAGACCGCCGAACCGCCACGGCACGTGATCGCCTAGGGGCGACAGCTGGCGAGCCGAAAGGACTCCGTTGTGTCGGGAAGGTCGGGGTCGTTTTGGCTTGCATTTGCCATGTGATGTGGGTGGCCATCTTGCTTGACTTTTTATTTAGTTGAACGATGCTGTGTAGACCTGACGAACATCCATGAAATGGGATATATTTCGTTCATCTCACGTCGAGAGGTGATGAGGCATTTCTGCTATGCCTGGGACTCCATTCCTGGGTGATGATATTTATGGGCTGCTGTTGAAATCTCATGCCATAAATCTACTCGATGTATTTCGCTGGCGTTGTCAGAACGTGGAAACGATTGAGATTGGTTGTTGAGAATACTGAGTGCGACACAAGCAACCAATTGATGGCATGATTTGCTGTTGCGAGAAGCTGCTTCAAATCCCTCTCTATCTCCTCTCTACCATACTATCTGCCTCTTTCTCTCCCACCCTTCCTCCCTTCCTCTCTCTCTCTCCCTCTCTCTCTCCCTCTCTCTCTCCCCTGTCTTGCTGTCCTCTCCGTGCTCTCCTGGTCTTTTCCCGCACCTGGTGCTCACACCCTCCCACGGAGTAGAGCAACCTCTATGCATAAATCGGCTCCGTGCCTCAAAGAGGCGGTGACGCGCTCCTTTTCATCTGCTGTCGGAAGGGAAGTGATGCTAAACTGGAGCACTTCTCGATTTATTGCCGGCTAAAACGGCTTGTAAAATGGTCTCAGCTTTGAACGCACGTTCTGCTGCAGGTTTGTTGGAAAGTGATAAATTCTGAAATAAATGTGTGTAGTGTGATATTGACTGCAATGGCAGCTGTCGCTCAAGCTCGAACATTCAAAACTAAGTAGTCAGATACAGCATCTTCTGCTATATAATACCATCCTCGCATCTTCATTCTTCAGTCTAACCACTGCAACCCGCCCCTTAAACCTCAGTGCTCACTGGTCAAATCATCACACCAGGGGGAACGCTCAGTAATACCCTAAGAGGGCCGACTTCTGCGAACCAATCATCTGCCCGGCCCGTGGCGCTGAAAGGACGCCTCGGAGCACCGTGTCTGGCCTGTAACAGATGGTCTCGGAGTGACCCAGGCAGTGCTGATTGATCACTGGTCTGATCAAATGATATCTTCCTGACGGCGGACGATGGGCGGCACAAAACGTCACCTGGCCGGCCGCGCCGGCACGGATGCAGACGGGAGAGAGGAAGAATGAGGGGAGGGAAGTGAGGAAATGATGGAAAGGGAGGAGAAAGAGATTAGGAAAATGGATGGGAGAGGAAGGAAGATATACAGAAAGATTGAAATTAGGAAGGCAAAACGTAAGAGAGAGGAGGAGAAATAGGAGTGAATGAGAGAGACAGAGACAGAAAAAGGGAGGGAAGGGGAGGAGGGTAAGAGAGAGAGAGAGAGAGAGAGAGAGAGAGAGAGAGAGAGGGAGAGGAGAGAGAGAGAGAGAGAGAGAGAGAGAGAGAGAGAGAGAGAGAGAGAGAGAGAGAGAGAGAGAGAGAGAGAGAAGGTGAAGAGGAAGAGAATAAAAGAGAGAGGGAGTAGTAAAGTAGTGGCCAGTCCACATAAAACATTGCTCGGAGCCATACATTACAGTCGGTAGCCGGATCCCTTCAGTAGGTGCTGAGTGGACCGAGTCCGGGGTGTTACTACATCCTGTATGTACACCTACAGGCCGATCACGTGCTGCCGGCGCGGCGGTCACGGAACTCCAGCACGAGCGTGCTCCGTGAGCGCGCCACAATCATGGATTCGCCTTTTACTGAGGAGGCTTTCCCGAGAAAGGATCTGGGAGAGCAGGATATGAAAGAACAGGTGCAGAGATAATTTCTTTATATGTCGACCAAGCCATATTTTCTCTAGAAATGCGTCGTTTTGGTGTAGAACCTCTAACGGCTTTGATGGAATGTGTTGGTGGTATTTGTATATGTCTAAACTGACAACCGTAATACAATTAGTGAATTAATTTAATTAGCCTGAATCATGTTCCCAGAAGCTAATATTATATTGCTGCGAACAGTGCCTAGAATGTTGGAATAGTTACACACCGCTCGCGCCCGAATAAAGTCTGTCTTTATTAAAACGCCTGAAGATAGGCTGTCCCGCAATGCAGACGCCTGCATGTAGACTGTACCGCAATACACACGCCTGAAAGTAGACTCGCCCGCAGTACACCCGTTTGGAGGTCTGCGTCATTTACTCTCATGCTGGTTTGTTTGTCGTTCAATAACGAAATGGTGCGAAAGCCGAGTGCAATTGAAATGCTGGACTATACGTGTATTGTACGCACGCTTTCTTCTGCTGGAGTGCATGCTCTCGTAACAGCCGCTGAAGTATCCCATGAAACTCATGTGACTCTCATTCCTAGTGAAAATATTACTTTGCTGATATCTGAAGCGACAATCTAGAATTGCGCACTTTCTCGGGATATACCCAATGACCTCAGACAGCATCGTTCCAATTAGGTCGGTCATTGTCGAGCCTGTGCGCGTCCAATAAATCTCCAGGAATCTACGACATGGCTTCCAACCTGCGTAGCTGCACAAAGCCGCGCGTGAATCCGACGCCGTTCTTATACAATGCGCTGCGGGCCCTAGAAATTTGCATCCAATGACTGCACGAGTGGGGTCACGTCGGGCGGGAGCTTCTCTCGACAGCCACAGCTGGCTGATTTCATGAATCCATTAACTGACAGCCTAGAAGTGGAGGTGGCATTGGGGAGGTCCCGGCCCGGCAGGGGGAGCAGATGACCCCACGGGAGCTCGGTGCTGTTGGCGTGCTACCTTGTTGAACAATACTACATGGTTTAGCGAGGGTCCCGCTGGCTTGTTTTATTGTAACATATTTGGCTGGCTGGTCGGCATTGCTGGCGAGAATGTAGTTGGTGCATTGTTCTTTTCTATTTATAGTTGCATACATTTTAGTAATGTCGTCTAAATTTATTATCTTGGACATTTCACCTCGGATGATTACTTGGTTCGGAAATGTTTTCATTGTTCTATGTGGTCTGATGAAAATGATTAAAATACCGGAGTCAAATGACAATGAACACCATCAGCCTAATATTAACTTATTTTCACTCCCCGTGTAGAACTGGGTCGTTGGCGTGTTCGCTCACCATTTCCGTGTGCGGACACTACCGACTGCCGGTTTCGCAGGCCGCCTGTTAGCTTCACGTAACGAGCAATAGCAGCGAGCGGTGTACCATGTAATGCCCAGGTCGTCCGACCATGGCCTACACTGATCATGTGTGAGCGTGGATCACGTTCACGTGGGTAATGCCAAGCTGATAACGTTGTAACAGCTTGGGGGAGATGAACATAAGTAGTTTGCACTCACCTTAGGAAGTTTTGTTTGTGGCTAGTTGTGCCTTTTTTGCATACATTAGTATTTATCACTGAAGTCCTTTTTCTTGCAAGATAAATGAGGACCAGGTCTATATGAGAACTGGGTGATAAAAACAACGAAGACTTTTTATCTTAAATTAACCGTTCACTTTTTGTTTGGTTATTGACTGATTGGTTTATGGCATGCCCTGTCAGACCATTCCATTGTCGTAGAATGAGAGGATTACGAACAGATTGAGACATTGAAGAAATGCGACTATTGCGTGCCGTGCTGTGCTCGGCACCACGGCGACTTGCACATGAACTGTGCGCCCCGTGGGACAGAGGTCACCCACCTGCTCATGGGGTCACTCCGGGACGGGTATGTTTCTACTAGAGATACCCTCAGTGGTTTCCTAGATATCTCTTCATTTAACCTGACGTTGATCATTCGTTCGGCCCTGGGTATCGCTGAACGCCTGATGACGGCTCCTCTCGCTCTCTGCGCTCTACCCGGGATGTACTGTTACCAGACGTTCCCACTAGATGTCAGCACCGTGACCTCGCCGGACCGAGACGGTCGGACCACGCGGAGCCCATGTCCCTCTGGCTCTGCTCTTGGCTCCGGTGCTGCTCCTGAGGGAGCGCACCCCGTAGCCGGGTGCAGTGAGTGCCTTGGGGCTGGATGGCCCAGGGGCGGATCCAGGAAAACTCCAAGGGGAGGGTCATGAATCGAAGTGGTGCCCCTACCTATACCCAAAATTAAAAACTCAACGGATTTCGTCCAC